AACATCTTTGATCAAACAGTAAAAATTATTAATGTTATCAAATCTTGGTCCTTGAGTACATCTTTTGAAGAGCATGCAATGGAATGGGAAGTATGCAAAGAGCACTACTGCTGCAAACTGAACTGCAGTAGGACTGTTCGAATTGTGAGCTGGACCTGGTTGATCTTTTTCATGGAACAAAGTTTTTAGTTGAAAGAACGACTTACAAAACTATGGTTATTAAATCTCTGGTATTTGGCAGACATTTTCTGGGAAATTAGCAAAGTGAGTCTGTCACTTCAAAAACAACAGACAGTATTTGTTGCCAGTGATACAATGTGAGCTTTTAATGTGAATTTTGGAACAATCATATTGAATATGACAGTGTTCCAATACTCAAAGGCTTTCCTGATGAGTTTGGTAATAATATTAGTAAACGTGGTTACTGTATAATGAAATGTATTAACATTTGGAAGATCTCACATAACTCACAGATCTGATTATTATCAAACCATCAATTCATGACATGGATAAATGATCCATTCAAAGTTCAAGACAGACCAATGGACTTTAATGCAGCAGAGTTTGAATAATTCATTGATATGGTTTCAGATCTACATTATAACTAATCTCTAAGAAACTACCACTTGTTGAGTTTGGGTATATTATCTAGAATAGCCACAATGATCTAGAGAGGCTATTAAAATGAACTAACCAGGTTGGAAGGCCTCACTAAAAGATGTATCGGAATGCCCCCTTCTCTTTGTAATGTGTTAAACGTACATAATGGTTAGATTGCCATTGTTTGTAGATACTGTATTCTTTTATTATTATTATTTTATTTTTTATTTGTATTGATTTCAGAGAGGGAGAAGGGAGAAAGAGATAGAAACATCAATGATAAGAGAAAAATCATTGATCAGCTGCCTCCTGCACGCCCCCTACTGGGGATTGAGCAGGCAACCGGGCATGTGCCCTTGACCGGAATCGAACCGGGGATCCTTCATTCCTCAGGCTGACACTATCCACTGAGCCAAACCAGCTAGGGCTGTAGATATTGTATTCTTGATTCTTCTGGCATAAGGGTCATAAATGGATGTTTAGGATAGACTGAAAAAGACCTGAAACCCAGTCCTCAAAGAAATGTGTTTTTTTTTTAGGTTATCATCCCACCATTTCGTGACCCTTTGAAAAAGGCACAATATGACAAAGATGATGAAAAAAGAACTATTCTTCAGTGTGAGACTGGTACGTAGTTTCCAACTGTTACGTGATTTCATAAGTCAAGAGCAATGACAGTTGCATTTAACTGTGCTAATTTATACTGCTAAACTTCTTGCAGGCAAAATACATACAATGAAAGAATTTAAAGAGATTGAGAAGGCCAAACTGTATTGCAGATTTCCACAACTTTCTAATTCAAGGTGCTTTGTGACTCCAAATGATTGGCTTAAACTGTCTACAAGCTACATAGAAAGTGACTTTTGTAAAAGGAGCAGGTAATGGCTAATATTGTAGAAATTATGGAACCCATTGTGATTAGAAAACTTTTTCTTGAGATAGTGATATAAATTTTGTCATTGTTATTATTTTTAAGTTTTTGGTTTTTAATGAGAAATCTATTGTAATTCTTGTCTTGGTTTCTCTGCGTGTGATGTTTCTTTTGTCTTGGGTACTTTCAAGATTTTCTCTTTGTCTTTGGTTTTCATTAGCTAAACTATGATGTGTCTAGGTGTTTTGTCCCCTTTTCTTTCTGTTTATCCTATGTAGGGCTCTCTGAGGTTCTTATATCAGTGGTTTGATGTCTTTCATTATTTTGGGGGAAATTCTAGGCCATTATCACTTCAAATATTTCTTATATCCTATTCTTTCTTTTTCTTCTGATATTCCAATTATATGTATATTAGAGCATTTGATATTGTCCCACAGCTACATAGCTCTTATATACTGTTCTTTCTTTTTCTACTTGTATTTTAATTAGACAATTTCTACTGACCTATCTTTTTTTTTTTTTAAATATGGAACGCTTCACGAATTTGCGTGTCATCCTTGCGCAGGGGCCATGCTAATCTTCTCTGTATCGCTCCAATTTTAGTATATGTGCTGCCAAAGCGAGCACTCTACTGACCTATCTTTAAGTTCACTGAGTCTTTCCTCAGCTGTGCCCCATATACTGAAGAGCCTATCAGAGGAATTATTCCCCACTGATGTGATGATTTTTATTTCTGTATTTCCATTTTATTTTTTAATAAAAATATATATTATTGATTTCAGAGAGGAAGGGAGAGAGATAGAGAGATAGAAACATCAATGATGAGAGAGAATCATTGATTGGTTGCCTCCTGCAGGCTCCCTACTGAAGGGGGAGGGGGGATGGAGCCCGCAACCTGGGCATGTGCCCTGACCAGGAATCAACTGAGACCTCCTGGTTCATAGGTCAACACTCAACCACTGAGCTACGCTGGCTGGGCCATGTGATTTTTTAATATAGTTTTAATTTATCCTAAAATCCTCCATCTGTTCATACATGTTATTCACCTTTCCATTATATTAACACATTATTCATAGTTATTTTAAAATCTCTGATCGTGTCAACATTAGGGTCATTTCTGAATCTGGTTCTGCTGATTGCTTTATCTCTCTCTTTTTTTAAAATATATTTTTATTGATTTCAGAGAGGAAAGCAGAGGTAGAGAGATATAGAAACATCAATGATGAGAATCATTGACTGGCTGCCTCCTGCACGCCCCCGACTGGGGATTGAGCCCACAACCCGGGCATGTGCCCTTGACCGGAATCGAACCCGGGACCTTTCAGTCCCCAGGCCGACACTCTATGCACTGTGCCAAACCAGCCAGGACGTGATTGCTTTATCTCTTGACAGTGGGTTATTTTATCTTGCCTTTTTTTTTTTTTTTTTGCATTTCTTGTAATTTTTGTTTGACTGTCAAAATATATTGTCCCTCTATCCCCAACTGCCCATTATGCTAGTTACAAATCAGGTTTTATAGGTTCAATTTGTGCCTGAAGATGTAAAGCCAGCCTTAAACAATATTACTAAATACAGTATTTATGAAGCAGAAGAAACTTCTGTTTCATTATTAAGGGGGAAAGGAAAGCTTACTGATTTATAAATGAGTTATGTGGTTTTAGATTCGGAAATCGTCTTATGCATAGATGGCTGCCTACACTTAATCTGTGCTAAAGTTGACACTCCTTCCCTGAGCATCAGCCTTCACTTTACAGAAATGGTTTTATTTGGGTAAACTTGCAAAATTTTCTACATGTAAGGACTTCTTTCTGACATGTAAATTCCTCTAAAGGGGGCTCAGCCTTAAACTATGACCTCCTGAGCTGTCAGGAGTAAGCAACAGTAACTTGAACACAGAACCAGATAAAGTGTAGACACCCCCAATTAGGACATGCAGAAGATACAAGAGAGTATAGTAAGACTGAAAAATATAGGCAGTTTCTCCAAGCACAGCTTATTTGCTTAAGGTCCCTCCTTTGTCTATTTTAATAATAATGAGCACCTTACTGTGGAGAGCGGCTACAGTGTTTGGACAGGTTCAAGCCTCAGACTAATGAGAGGGCACGGTCCTCTTGTGGCAAAGCCATGTGAAGGTCCAAGCTTAGAGAGAGAGAAACATCAATCAGCTGCCTCCTGCACACCTCCCACTGGGGATGTGCCCGCAACCAAGGCACATGCACTTAGCCGGAATCGAACCTGAGACCCTTCAGTCCACAGGCTGACGCTCTATCCACTGAGCCAAACCAGCCAGGGCATAAATGACACAATCTCTATGGCCTCTTTTTACATCCTATATAATAAAAAGCTAATATGCAAGTCGACCAAATGGCGGAACGACCAGTTGCTATGATGCGCACTGACCACTAGGGGGCAGATGCTCAAAGGGGGAGTGCCACTCAGCCAGGAGCCAGGCTCATGGCCGGCGAGCACAGCAGTGGTGGCGGGAGCCTCTCCCACCTCTGGCAGCGCTAAGGAGCAGCAAGTAGGTGGGCAGTAAGGAGTGAGGGGTCCCGGACTGTGAGAGGGCACAGGCCGGGCTGAGGGGACCCCCCCCCCAGTGCATGAATTTCATGCACCGAGCCTCTAGTTAGAGTATAAACCCCCAGTGGATAGGGAGTGCTGCAAACTTTGCCTTGCCAAGTAGGTTCTCAGTACAGAGTAAACCAGCCTCCATCCTGGTTTCAGCAGCTCTCACATGCCCGAGACGTCACACAAGTTTGAAGTGATGGTATTTTAGACCAGCGGTCGCCAACCTTTCGGACCTCACGGACCTCACGGACCACCAGTGGTCCACGGACCCCCGGTTGGTGACCGCTGTTTTAGACAATATACACAGCGTCAAAGGTTAACAGTAATTTCTGAAAGCGTATAACCGGTATTATTTTTGCAAACATCCTCACACATGTTGTCTTGTTAAAGGTTAAAGGTGAAGAGTAATTTCAACGCTAGTAGTTTTGATTTGAAACACGTGACCAAAGCGCCTCATCTTCCGGGACCCCAGGAAGGAGAAAAAGCAGTTCTTTGCAAGTAAGCCCGTTCTTCCATAGCTCGGCCCTTCCTTTACTTAAGATGCTTGGCTGTGTTTCCACCCTTTGCCATCCTTCCGCGCTGCTGGAGCCAGTGCCCAGGTGCCAGGCTCCTGTGGCACGACCCCAGGCACCTCCCACCCCGTGCCTGGGTGCGGTGGCAGCTTTCTGCAGCTTGTCCTGGTTTTAAGGAACAGATAGCTAACACATTCAGAAATGACAAGCACAGACACAAAAAAATGGTTAACGACTCGTGTAAGTTAAAAGTGACTTGAATTGAATCGGAAGAGTAAAGTGTAACTTTGGACTAGTTTTGAGGGGTAGTAGCTGTTACTGTTGGGTACCCAGAGTGAGGAGGTGTTATCAGCAGAGACGTGGTATGTACTACTGTGCGCGTAACCTGGGGAGTCAGCTCCGGAAACTGGTTATGGAGTTAAAAGAAAGAGGTTTCTCTACGTGGTTACAGAACCTGCTAACTATCTGATTAAGTTATGGGATCCCCAGACATTGCTGGAGGGAATGTAACATAATGCAGTCACTTTGGAAAACAGTTTGGCAATTTCTCAAAAGGTGAAACATGAAATTATCATGCGACCCAGCAGTTCACCTCCTAGGTTTCTACCCAGGAGAAATGGAAACATTATTCACATAAAGACTTGTCCTGAGTGCGTGTTCTCGCCACGATATCTCCAAACTGCAAACAGCCCAAGTGTTGCTCATTCACTGGCAAATGGACAAAATGTGGTGCATTTATACAGGGAATGTTACTTGGCAATTAAAAGGAAAAGGACTTCTAATAAAGCATGGATGAACTTCAAAACCATTATACTCAGTGAAGGGAGGCAATCACAAAAGACTACCTATTGTTTGAGTCTCTTAATATGACATATGTTGGACGAGGTAAATCTTTAGAGACAGGAAATAGATTATTGGTTGCCCAGGGCTGGGGCTGGGAATGGAGAGTGATTGTAAAGGACTGATGGAAATGTTCTAAAATAGCTCTGCAAATACACTAAACACCATTGGTGTGTACAATTCAAATGGGGTATAAATTACACGTCAGTGAAGCTGTTCAAGAAAAAAGAGACCCTAGCAAGGCAGGAGGGAAGTGAGCTCATATGCAGCTGTTTAGGAGGCTGGCCTACGATTTTCTATTCCTGAAAAGCCTGGAGGGAAGCTGTAGCAGGTTCCCTTTCCCTTTCCCGAGGAGGCTCAGAGCTCGATGAATAAATGAGTGTGGCAGGAGCCGAGGGCTCTCAGAGATGCTTGATGCTGGCATGTCCAGCAGAGAGGCCAAAATTGCCTCGGGAGGGACTTAGTGATTTAAAGTAGAAGCAGGTGACTGTTGGGGGTGGGGCAGCCATGAGGTTTGCTGCCTGTGGATGGGAACTGACATTGAGGGGTAATAGGAAGTATTGAACTATGCCCCACTCACGCGTAGCTGCAGCCTTCAGAGACAGAATGACTCAGAATCACTCTTGTATATTAGGGTCCAAAAGAGTAAGTTCCTCCCCTATCCCTAACTGCCATGGTCTTATACAGACCTATTTGGGCCAGGTTTTAGGGTAATGAACACCTTCATCCTATTTCATTTCTATATTTATACTAATAAAAGGGTAATATGCTAATTAGACCGGACATCTTCTGGACATCCTTCTGGACAAAGCCATGGTGGCGGGGGCCGAGGCAGAGGTGATTAAGGGCGATCAGGCCATCAGGGAAGAGCAGTTAGGGGCGATAAGGCTGGCAGGGGAGCAGTTAGGGGGCAATCAGGCCAGCAGGCAGAGGCAGTTAGGGGGCAATCAGGCCGGCAGGCAGAGGTGGTTTGGGGCGATTAGGTAGGCGAGTAGTTAGGAGCCAGTGGTCCCAGATTGAGACCTAATCAGGCCTAAACCAGCAGTCAGACATCCCCCAAGGGGTCCTGGATTGGAGAGAGTGCAGGCTGGGCTGAGGGACTCCCCCTTCCTCCCCCCGTCCATGCATGAATTTTGTGCACTGGGCCTCGAGTATGCTATAAAAGGAGGAGGGATTTTGTCCTCAAATACCTCTTCTAGCAGAGTGAGCCCCAGACAGGAAGGAAAAAATGGCATTGTTAAAGCGTGCAGGGCTTATATTTTAGCCTAGAAGTGTAAGTCTATGAACTCCCCCCGGAAGAGGAGGTTTAGATTCTCTTCCACAAATAAGGGAGGCATCCCAGACATGGATCCAGGTAGAGAAGGTGTTTGTCCTTGGAAGAGTTAAACCTGCCCAGGGAAGGCCCAGGGTCGGCCCTGTGAGAGGTCACTTCCCCTGAAGGACTCTGGCTCAGCTGGTGAAACAGCAGAGAGATTTCAGGTGAAAATAAGACTGGAGCAAGGCGATGCTACTTATTTGGATTTCTTTTTCATAAAAGTATGCAAATTCATATAGAACGCATCTGCAAATTGAAATAAAAAATTAAATGCTACACTTGAGCTGATCATGGAGGGGACCCTTTCCTTTCTGGCTCCTCCCTACAGAATCGAAGGGTTATGCTCTCTGGAAAAAGGACCGCTACATTCTCAGCAGGGAAAGCGTCCAGATCACGAGGAGGCCAAGGCTGAAAGGCCCTCCTTGAGCCTCAGCCTGAAGGCAGAGCGGAGGGAAGACCAGGATGCGGTGAGAGCTGGGGAAGTCCCGGGGCCATGACACCAGGCAGCAGCTGGGCGATTCTCCCTGCGGCAGGATTTCAGGGAGAGAGGAGGCAGCGGACTCCCCGGAACCCTCAGCCAATGGAAGGCCAGGGAGAGAACAGGAGAGGCTGAGGCAGGCGTCCCTGATCCAGAGGGAATGGAGCTGCGCTGGGAGCTACACCTGGGGGTGCCCTTTGGTGGGTGGACTGGAGGGTTTTCCCAGCTCCCTCCTGAGTGCCCTCTCTCTCCACCACCTCTACCATCTCTGCCATCTCCCACTTGTCACACCCAGGCGAGGCCCGGCGTTTTGTTCCTCATAATTCAGCCAGGATAGAAAGTTTTCAGAAGGACCATATACTAAATTAAAGTAGTAAACTTTACCGAGTAAAGTAAAAGCCCTAAAGTGTAAAATGTATAGAAATATAGGTGTTTATAGAGAGCAGATTTCTCATCATAAGGCACTCGTTAAACTTGGTGCAGGGCCATGGGGGGGCGGGCGGGGATCCACAAATAATATCACACACAGTAGGACTGGCTGTGGCCCCAAATCTCTGCCTGGTTCTGAATCCAGGTAGAGTGAGGGGAGGCCCAGGACAACATCTCGGGGCCGTCTCTGATCCCCGTTTTCACTCACTGGCCGTGTCTGGGAGGTAACGGCTGTGGCAGTGGGTTGGCCTCTCAGGAGGTTCAGGTGGGAGCCCTGCTCAGCTGGGTCGGGAGGACTGCCCTTCAGGTGGATCAGCTCAGCTTAGCCCAGGAGCTTTCTGCTCTGTAAGCCCCTCACCCCACTTCCACACCTAACGCTTCTGTGAACCTTCACAAGGTTTCGGCAGCCAAGGAGCACACACCCTGACCCTGGACTGGCCAAGAGGACACAGAGGAAGGTTGCTCTTGGAGGAAGCCACCTGCCAGCAGGCATCAGGGTGAGGACCACGGGAGGCGCTCAGGGCTGTCCTGGGTCTGAGAAAAGCATCTGCAATAAACCTCACTTGACGTTTGAGCTCAGTGTCTGTGTGAGAACTGAGAAACCACCTCCATGTATGGACCGTTATTGGAAATGTTTTCCCAGAGGCTAAGAAGCATTGCTGAAAGGTGCAATAGGAATCAGCAGCTCCCTTCCTGAGGGCCATCTCGGGGCTCAGTCTCCCCGAGGAAGGGGCGCTGCCTTTGGTCGGGCCCCCTTAGGACCCCCCCTGCCCCCCCACGCTTTCCCCAGGCGTCCCCCGCAGTCCTTGGGAAATGTGAACATCCACTGAGATTCCCAGGTGTGGGTTCTGCTCTGCGCGGCCCCTGGCTCCGGTGGAGTTTGACTCCAGGCCCAGGAAGACACGGAGGACCTGGAGGCTGAGGGCGGGGCTCTGCATTCCTTAGGCAGAGGTGACACTAAAAGCCCCTCCTCCCCTCCAGTCTAGCATCAGAGACACTGAGCCCTGGAAACAGTGGGTCGCAGGGCAGGTCAGTGGCGAGTCCAGCTGAGGCCCGTGCCTCGTGAACGCTCTCCCACCGCTGGTCCTTGGTTTCTCCCACTGTCACCGGAAGGAAACTTGGTTCCATTATAAGCAGCAGTTCACGTAGGACAGTGATGGCGAACCTATGACACGCGAACTCATTTTTTTGGTTGATTTTTCTTTGTTAAAGGGCATTTAAATATATAAAATAGATATCAAAAATATAAGTCTTTGTTTTACTATGGTTGCAAATATCAAAAAATTTCTACATGTGACACGGCACCAGAGTTAAGTTAGGGTTTTTCAAAATGCTGACATGCCGAGCTCAAAAGGTTTGCCATCACTGACGTAGGAAGTCAATTGGTCAAGCTCCGAGAGAAGTGACATTCATAAACGTATAGTTTTATTCTCTTTCTGTACATATTGGCAATGATAAAGCTTAAAGATGCATGTCCTATGAAATATGCAAAACCAAGGAATTTACATAAATAATTTATACTTCAGAAAATTAAAGTTGAAAAATATTTTCCACATCATTAGCGTTCACAGTATTTAAAGTAAATCAAGCTTTCCCCCTTAGATTTCCAACTACATTGTCTCAGCAGAGAAGGATAAATCTGACCAGGAGCTCAAGGATCAAGCCTGGTTTTGTTCAGTGCACGAGTGGACGCTATGTCAGCATCAGGCTGGCCCCGCGCTGCGGCCGCAGCCTTCCTCCCAGTCCTCGGCCTCCTGAGTGGCTGTGACCAGCAGAGGTCACAGGGCGTGGAATGGTTACAGCGTCACCAAAACCGCCCACAGTGGACACATTCAACCAAGTGATAACGTCTGGTGGTCCGATGCCTCAGCTCCACATAATACTTGTTATAGCCCTGAAAATGGAAACCGTGGCATCCAAACACAGCCCAACATGTTAGCACTCATACAAGGCACCGTGCCGCGGGGTTCGGTTTACTCATAGGAAAGGTGTTTGCATAGATGGCTAGCGACTTAGTGTGCGATAAACTATAGAGGCCCCAGCGCACGTGCGGCCTTGCGATGGATGAAGCTGAGTGACCTCCGTCCTCCACGGGGCAGCACCACCGTCTTCCCAGCCCCAGCCCAGGGCAGACGCCCTCCCGAGGCCCCTACAGGAGAGTTTTTTGCTCAAAAAGCTGCAGGTCAAAGCGGACCCAGACCTCCCCGGTGGGGACCTCGTGCAGCAGGAGTCGCCGGGTGGTAGGGCCTTTGCTTTCCTGTTCTGTTCGAATTTTCGCCACTGGGATTTCAGTCCGACCCAGGAAATCTGGTGAATAAACGCGAGAGTCAGAAGCCTTCTTGATAAAGCTGGTGAAGAAACTACCCCAGGAGTTGTGTCTGAAACAGGATTCATACAACTTTCAAATCCAAAACAAGCCACTCCCTCTGGTCACGGGCGGTGAGGACGGACGCGGGGAGGGAAGCCGCCTGCCTGGAGCCCTTGTCTGGTCGGGAACCTCTCACCCTCCAGCAGGTGCGCGTGGCACAGTTTCTGTGACCCACGTGGGGAGTGATGGGGTCAAACACCTGAACACCCCGAGGCTGCCCTTCCCCAGGAGGCGCCCGCACAGCTGCTGGGCGAGGGAGCCGTGCGGACGGAGGGTCTGTGGGAGGCAATGCCGGGCGCCCGGCTCCGGCCCGAGGGCCCGAGGTCTGGACGAATCATACTTTACCGTCTGGAGAGAACTGGTCCCTGTCGAACATGGTGAGACACAGCACGTCTTGGTGCAGGTCCTTAATGAAGAACTGGCAGTTGAAGTTCCACTTGGGGTTCAGTGTGTCCTGGAGGGTCCTGGTGGTGTAGCTCTGGGAGCCCATGCTGATTTCACAGTACGGGTTGCTCTTTCCTGAACCACAACAAACAAGGACACAGGTGGCACGTGTCGGGTGGCACAGACCGGGCAGCAGGGGGCGCTGCCGGAGGGCCCAGTGTCTGCCTGTGGTCTCCCTGTCCCCCGAGCTGACAGGGCCATGGCCCGGGAGTGACCGTGTGGGCTCCCCACGAGCCCAGGCAAGTGTCAGTGCAACTTGCTTCGTGCTTTCTCCACCCAGAAGCACTGAGGGGAGGCACTGCGCTTAGTGGGAAACAGTGGTAATATTGGCCCAAAACCATGTCAGTGGCATTGGACACATGACTTTAAAAGCATCCATTATCCGATGCTCAGAAGGGGCCTCAGCAGAGAGCGGGGCCGTCACCACATCTGTTGAATGAAAGAAGCATTTACCATTTGGTTTGCAGGCTTTTAATTCTGTAGCTTCAATGACATGCACCATCAGACGCCCGATGCCTGAAGTCTTCTGAGAGCGAGCTACAAAACAGGAAGACGGGTCACGTTAACTTCTTCTCTGAGAAAACAGACAGCAAGTGCGGTGGTGACGCTGAGCTGTTCATACTCAGAGTCGGTCTTTCCGAGCCACCTTCACACTGCCCAGCCTCACCTGCCACTGCCCCGGGCCCAGCAGACCAGCGTCTGGCTGCTCCGTGCCTTTGCCCGGCCGTGTGGCCTGTCATCTCGGCCCATTGGCACCCGACTCATCCTTCAAGATGCAGGTCCAATCTCACGCCTCACCACCCAGACCCCTTCCCTCCTCTGAGCTTCCATTATCCCTGGCTTCTGAGCATCCCCCAGCGGCCGGGCCTGTAGTTCTATGTTTATGTCCATCTCTTCCGCTAGGAGGAGCCATTGCAGAGCACAGACTATTTACTCACCTTGTATCAAACCCTCCACGAACCAACAGACAGTAATATTAATAAAATTATGGCACATTATATTCGCTCAGCACGTGGATACCTACTAACATTTATTGGATACTTACTCTGTGCTAGGCATGTGCTAGACCTTTGTGTAAGTTATTGAAACTGCACGGTTGCCCCATGTTAAGGCAGCTCTCTGTAACGGTCATCTCCATTTGTGAGAAAACTGAGCTTCTAAACGGCAGGCCGAAACTTAAACATCAGAGACCAAAGTCTATTTCCTTAAGTACTGACCGCACTTCCAATGATATGTAAACACTTCAGCTTACAAAGCAGTTTCGCTGAAGACTTTATCCTATTTAAGGAGGTACTAAAAATGCTTTTCATACGGAGAGAAATAGTCCGTGAACTCAATCTACCTTAGTCAATATGAAGCTAGTTAAGCAGGTTTTGTTCTCAGGGTTGTAAAAAGACGAACAAAAAGTCTGCTTGGCAAACTATTGATGTTTACCAGGGCAAGGAGAACCTGCTCTATGAGCAGGTGCCCGCCTCTCCTCGGTGCCCACTCCAGGTGGGCAGGGCTGGGACCTGTTCAACGTTGTAGGCCTGGTCAAGACTCGCATGGGGCCTGGCACAGAGTAAGTAATCAATAAGTGTCTGAAGAATTAAACACGTGGAAAATGCATATGGACAGGTATTGATGTTAAGCAACACTAACATGGAAAAACTTTGATTTACATCTTTGACCAATTAAGAGATCTTTGTATGCTTTATAAATGATTCAATCATTGATTTCCCAATAGCAAGCCTTTAAAATACCATTAAAACAAGACACAATTAGTAAAAGCTGAGTTACACATACCTTTCAGGAGTATGTAACAAAATAAGGAAAACCTGAATAAAAAAACATAAAGAACTGCAACTATAGCGGCCAGGGACACACATGGGGGGACTGCCTGGAGGAGGAGGCGGACAGGGTTTCAAAGGTGAGTTGTTCAATTAGGCAATGGTATGGGCCCTGAGTTTAGGGTAAGAACTTTGGCCTTAACTTGGGCAGCAACAGGGAAGAGGTTTAAGGAGGGAGAGAGATACTGAGAACAGATACTCCAGAAATGAAGGGGTGTGATGGGGCCACGGGGGACTCGTGCTACAGCCTGGGAGGGGGACTGCAGGGGCTGTGTCACCGGGAAAGGAAAGGACCAGGTAAATGGGAAAGAGAACAGTGGGGAACCTATGGGACTCAGCTGCTGCCCAGAGGAGAGGTGTGTGTGTACTGGGGGCAGTGGGTGAGGGGCTCCGGGAGGCCCAGGAGGTTTGGAACAGCCTCGGGGGGCAGAGCAGCTGAGCTCTGCAGTCTGATCCGCAGCAAGTCTGGCCTTTCACTCCCCATCTACCCCTCACTGTCACAGCTGCGTCCTGAAGGTAAGGACCCCCAACTCGCCCCCCGCCCCCGCTCCCCAGGGCCCCCTGGTGGCTGGTTCCAACAGTCAGGGCCCGTCTGACTACCTTGATAGGCCCTCTCTCGCTTCTTCTTCTCCGTGTCGATGTACTGCTCAGAAGCGGCCTTGATCTTCTGCACCCAGGCAGTCCTGGGGGAAGCAGAGCACAGCGTTTGGGCAGCTTTCCCCGCACCTCCCAGGTCAACCAGGAGCCAAAGCCCGGCACCCCTCTCCTCTCTTTGGCTAACCTCGGCTTCAACAAGTTCCCAATCACAGGCTTAATATTCGCTCAACTCAAAGATTCGTTTACTAATTGAGGTCGAGCCGATCATTTCTAGACAGTCCTGACCACTTACAAAAGGGCAGGCACCGCTCTGAGCGCCCAGACATGGCGGGCACTGCTCTGAGCTCTCGGACGCGGCGGGCACCACTCTGAGAGCTTAGACGCGGCAGGCACTGTGAGGTGCCCCACGAGAGGGAAGATGCAGCTGCATCAATGGCGTTCAGCAGTGACAGGTCCCCGCACACTGGGCTGTGCACCCGTTTGCCATCACAGAAGCGCTGTCTGAGCGCCACCCTGGAGGCCGCCTGGCTGGCC